TTCAGTCTTCAGTCATAGCCTTTTTAAAGTTTCTGTGTAAATATTAATCTTAACAGGCGGTGTGAACGCATGGAGGATGGGGCTCTGTTCGCTGTCAAGATCGTATCGCAACGATTCGCTACTCAGGCACAACGGGAGGCAAGGATTCTTGATATTGTTAAAGGTACTGATGACCGTTAGTTGATAATTCTGTTTCTCTCTAGCATCACTGTAAGAAGGAAAATGTCAATAGTTCACATAGAAGTGGATGTTTTCTTTATTGTTCTCGAGTGCTGTTTGAGAAAGGATCTTTTTCGTTTTTGTTTTCAAGTGCCGCCCAAGTACCAGCGTGCTCTGAGCGCTCTTTGATTCACAGGTCATGTTAATATCGTGCGGCTGATTGACGTCCATTCGGATCCTTTGCACTTTTACATTGTTATGGAGCTGCTTACGGGACAAGAATTGTTGAAACGACTGAGGAAACTCGAGAAATTCACGGAGGCAAATTCTTTTAGCTGTTGTTGTTTGTGAGCTGAACGTCGATTCTGATAAAGTGCGAAAAATATTTAGGCAGAAGCTGCCGATATCATGCGGCAATTGGTCTCCGCAGTTGGTTTTCTACATGCAAAACGAATTGTTCATCGAGATCTGAAGCCCGAGGTTGGTCAGCAATTTTCTAGTTGAGTGGTATTGTGCGACGTCCTTACCCACTTCACTGTAACCAGGCGTCGGGGACAGAGATGGGTCAAAGTATGAGTAATTTTATGGTGTGTAGCGTATGACTCCATCCTCAGAGACACATCGTTTGGTTGTCTGAGATTTGGGATCTTCACCTTGTACAGGAGGGAGCAGGTCCGCGGCCAGATAAACGTACCACTGTGCGTAGCAAAGAAGCTACAGTTTCCCCCTGGTTTCTGATGGTAATTATACGGTACACAGCGAAACACGGTCACTGGCACAAATGTGTATCACACAGTACGTGCTGCTCATCTGCGCCCTCTCTCTGAGACAGTGTCCGGTCTCAGAGAGAGGGCGCAGTTTGGTTAGTGCCGGTAAGATCGTAGAGGGGTTTTCTTTTATAGTATGTCGAATCGCCTAAAAGAGGCCTCCCTATATCAGCCAGGCCTGTGCGGCTTTATTTTAGTGAGAGAGCGCAGACGAGCTGCAGGGACATGACCGTATGCTTTGTTATATAGTCAGGGCACGTCGCACGCTGGTGATCCTTAACGGGGTCGCATTCCGTCGTTGGAAAGGAAGAGTCGAGACTTGCACCTCACCTACCCCTAGGTCGACGGCTAATTCCTGAGAAAGAATTGGGGAATTTTGAAGATTTTTGGAAAATCTCGAAAAAGGTAGTTGGAAGTTGGGAGGGGCAGGTCGTATTTCGTAAAAAAAAGTTCCCCCAGCGACAGAATGTTACCTTCGTAAGTAACATCAAGCAATGAGGAGCCTTTAGCTTCCTTGTAGCACATTTTCGAGCGGCAGAACTGGTACTTTTCTCAGCTGAGGACCTTCCGCCCGTACTTGGAGGGTATCCCACCTTTTAGGTAATCGCACCATATGTCCTTGAACATGTGAATTCAACACGCTGCTCTTGTGCTAAAGATACCCAGCTTTGTCCTAAGAGAGGAATTGTTTACAGAGGGAGTTTATGCTTCTCAACCTTTAAGGGCGCTGTTCGGATCGGCTTAGGGGGGGGGGCACTTTCGCTAATTCCTTGGTTTATGTCAACAATAAGTCTCACTTTGGTGAGACCTGTAAACTCTTGTGAAATGGTACAGGTGGGCCATTTCTCAAGAAAATTCACAGGTTTGCACAAGGTGACCTGGACAAGCTCGAGCTGACCATGGGTTCCATTTGAAGTCCCAACAAGCTGAACTGCGCCCTTTTGAGTGTCAGGAATTTCTGATTTAATGCTCTCTTTCAGAATATCCTGTTCGAAAGTGAAGATTCGAGTGCTCGTCTACGACTGGTCGATTTCGGTTTTGCGCGATTGTTACCGGCATGCGTTGAGCAACAGCTGAAGTCAGTCTATCGGAAAATGTACGCGCAAGCCCAGCCCACCCACCACGACACGCGACCGTAACCAATATCGAATCGCACGTGT